CTTCCCATATGCTAACACAAATCCGCCCCCATTTTTTTCATCCCTATACAGACCGGGATCCCCTAGTTTCACTCCACCCCCTATTTTTTCCCCTCTCATCCATGGTTCCCAGTCTCACCCCCCCCCCCCCCCCAATTTATGCAACACATATGAGATTTCTATCCTTTTCTGACACGTGTAGAGCTTTCTTTCGGTGGTATTTAATCACCAGCATTATATTTTTTGCTAAATAAAAAAATAAAAAAAAACCCCACCTTTTTCTTTGTTTTCTGTTATAAAATTTTGCAAATAAATAACACTGTTCAACAAATTTTTATTTTTTTTGCCAGTTTTGGAAACAAAAGGATCCATTTCTTAATGAATTTCACATTCTGAGTTCAAATATAACAATGAAATTTGTCAATTGGCTCTAGTTTTTCTGTAAGCGGAAAGTTTTCTACTATAGGCGTAATGACTACATAATGCACAATAATTATATAGATAGATGTCTTTCCACAAATATAAAGCAAGTGATATTGACTACATAACAAAGCCTAAATGGCATAATATATTGCATAGGATTACCAAGAAAAATTATAGCCATAAGCTAAGTTGAATCATTTTAATACTTAGGATTCTCACTAGTTTTGTCTTCAGTTTGTGTCGGTTTTGCTTCTCTTGGCTTTTCTCTTGTATTCGAGGAAAGGGCTATCTCTTACAACTGCACGTGACTACACGCTTCAGGTTCTTCCTCACTTGACTCAACCACGAAGGATTCTGGTGCTTTAGGAATTGGTAGCCCCTCTCCATGAGGAACTGGACGTATTGCCGATGGAATATTTGGATAGTGCACAGATAACTTTTGCTTCTTATTTAGCCCTTTTACAATTGGAGGCACCATACAAAAGTAACAATTACTAACATGATCTGTTGGCTCTCTCCAAATCATTGGCACAGCGAAAGGCATAGATGGCTTTTTTTTCCATTCAACCATTGCTCCAGTGCCGTCCCACAAGAATTGCAGCATATATGTGGTGCCCAGCTCTTGTCCTGGTCTCCTATCTTGCAGCCAAAATACAAGTTGTAGGCTTTCTTAATCACTCCTGTTATCCTCCTTTTTTGTGAGATAAAAGTTATTTCACCGCAGATATAGCAGAAATTATCTGCTTTATTCACACAAGTTCGAGGCATTACTGAGTAGCCTATATAAGCATAAAACGAAATGTAAAGACGCTGTCGAACTACAATCAGCTACAGATACTGCAGCTTTTATGCAGTGAAGTGATGCAATTAAAGGCTAATATTGCATCATCTCAGTATACATGCAATTTTCTATTGGTCACCAGTATCAATTGCGCAATATGCAGCTGAAGTTGCATCATAATTTTGAATGGCTTACGTCATTAGATGGGTGAATATGTCATGGAAACTAGAGCCAATCAACATTTTTTAGGGTCATTTTCGTTTTCAGCACCCCAAAATTATGTAAGATTAGCTAATTTTATGCCCAAAAACCTTTTACCTGTTGAACAGTGTAATCTTTTCATAAATTTAGGTCAAACTGTATTCTGCTACAGAAAATAACCCAAATCAGTGTATATTGTTTACTCTGTAGAAAAGTTAGAGTCCACAGACTGTGGTATATATCCGAAAATACCCCCAAAATGTCAGGACAGTACAAATACCCCCCAATTGTCAGGACAGAACAAACACCCCCCCCCCCCCCCCCCATGTCAGAACAAGACAAATCCCTCACAAATGTTAGGACAGTAAAAATACCCCCAAATGTCAGGACTGTGCAAATATCCCCCAAATGTGAGGACAATACTAATACTCCCTAAATGTCAGGACAGTGTGACTATCCTCCAAATGTCAGGACAGTACAAATCCCCCTCCCAAATGTTAGGACAGTACAAATCCCCCCCCCCCCACATGTCAGGATGGTATAAATCCCTCCCAAATGTCAGCACAGTACAAATACCCCCCACGTGTCAGGGTGGTATAAATCCCTCCCAAATGTCAGCACAGTACAAATACCCCCCACATGTCAGGATGGTATAAATCCCCCCAAATGTCAGGACAGTGTGACTATCCTCCAAACATCAGCACAGTACATACACTCCCCAAATGTCAGGACAGTACAAATCCCCCCAAATGTCAGGGCAAGACAAACCCCCCCCAAATGTTAGGACAGTACAAATACCCCCAAATGCAAGGACAGTACAAATATTCCCTAAATGCAAGGACAGTACAAATATCCCCTAAATGCAAGGACAGTGCGAACATCCTCCAAATGTCAGGACGGTACTAATACCCCAGAGAGAGAGAGAGAATTTGTTGTAGTGCTGTTTTTTTGCATACAGCACAAAGTTTGTTCTTTTGAAAGTATTTGCAAGGTACATTATTACATATTTAAATATTAATTGTCAATGGGAATGAATCATCAGCATAGAAATAAGTGTAAAATTCCAGGTTTGTATCAGAAAATATCTGAGCAAAGGTAATATTATAGGAACACAATGTTGTTACAAATGTAATAGACTTCCTGTCTGATAATATCATATGTTATGACCATAGGTTTTTATTAGAATTACCTTATACACAGAGGTAGAATTAAATTATTTTATTTAACATATGAAACACATACAAGTAAAAACATTTTCCATATTCTGAATCTTTTTATAGCTGTTGGCTTACTTGTATGATAGCATTACATTAACAGTGTTTGCAAAGAGTACAAAAGATAGCATACTGAAATTATTATTTCACTCAATAGATGTGAAGAAAATTAGATTCCAGTGTTCTGCACAATATTGCTTGAGGATTATTAAACATTTCAATTTTTTAATACAATGGGAAATAAAAGAGTCTTAAAAAATCACTAGATTCTTTATCTGTGTGAAATTTTATTAGGAGAGTGTGATTGGCATAGTTATGTGTGTTAAAGTGGTACTAAAGGTAGCAAAAAAAAAGGGTTCCCCCTGCAGATTTAAGCTTTAATGTGCTAGTACGCACTGCATGCTAGCACATTATGTCAGACTTACCTTTAGAATAGTGATGGTCTGAACACCCCCATGGTCGGTTTGTGGTAGAACATTCTAACCTAAAGAAAGTTCTACCGGGAACATTGAACATAATGCAAGTCTATGAGACTTGAACTTGTAAATTCAAAGGCTTTTTCATTTTGAAGGATTATATGCAAGTTATTGGCCATAGAAGGGGTATCGGGACTCAGGTACTGCCCTGAGGGACAAAAGCAGACAGGGGTGCACTCTCATCGTGCATTATCGTGGTACACCACATATTTATTGTGTAGACAAATAGATATATACTCACACACCAAAGGAAATTAAAAGGAAATGATGTAGTCCGCAAAGACAGTCAATATTGCTGTGCCCTTGATAGGGATAAGCTGACGTGTTTCGGGAGACGTACCCCCTTCCTCAGAGATAAAATGCATGCCTGCTGGTCCCAAGGTTACATACCAAAGAATGTCAGAGAAAAGGGAAAAAAGGCCCTCCCACCCAATCAACAGCCCAATCACAGAAAGGGGTGACCTGCCACACACAAAAAAAAAAAAGGGGGGGAAAAAAAGGAAAATAAATATATATGCACAGAAGGGCCAATGAAGTGCATGAAATATATATATATATATATATATACACACACACATACATATACATACATAGATATACACACATATACACATACACATAAACACACCTACACAAATACATCTACACTCTACACAAAGACCACATAAGTCACCAAACAAAACACTAGCACGCAAATGGTTCGTATAATGTGCCAGAAATGTACTCACATGTGCCCCAAAAGAAACATGCCTCTAAATGAACAGTCCTCATCTCAATAGAAACTCTCCTCATAGAAGGACATCAATGATGCTGTAACATAATGAACTATGTGTAGTACAGATGCATAGTGGTGGTTAGATAGATGGAGTAACCATTTAATAAGTGTATATGATGTATATTGTATGATGAATAATGATGATCAACCAGCACGGCATCCGCACATCCCGCCACGCTGGTTAGTGGGACCGTGACTGACAGCCTGTTGTGGGCACGCCTGCACCATGCAAACTGACCCATTCGCGCATGCGTGCCGCATGCCACACGAACCGTGTATGCGCCGGGGTGCCGAGCCGCCAGACACTTGCCAAAGACAAGTGTTAAAATGAGGGCGGAATGAGAAGGGATGGGACTTACTTGATGTTGCTAAAAAGTGCACTATTAATCAATGAAGAGATGTAACAATAAAATAAATAATGTAAATAATGTATATAATGCCTAAAGGGAAATGTGTTGAAAGGAAATATGTGTATTAGTATAGAGTTATATATAGAGGTGCATATATCTATAGTGATATTGATGAAAAAAGATTAATTAAGATAGAAATCAATTAATAATAATATAAATGAATTGTTAATAAAAAAATGTAAACATGTAAAAAGGGGCACATGGATGACCAATGTGAACCAAACTGCAAAAATCAATTGGAAAAATGAAACAATAATGAAATAATAAAATATGATAAAATAATAATGAGAAGAAAAAAAAATGTCCCTGAGGGACATGAATCAGTGAAAAAAAACATTTAAAAAAGTACAATTTTTAAAGGAGCAGACATTTTTCATTGCTTAAAGCAAAATAATATAAAAAAAATTCCTTTAACCACTTGCCTACAAGGCACTTCTACCCCTTCCTGCCCAGGCCAATTGTCAGCTTTCAGAGCTGTCACACTTTGAATGACAATTGCACGGTCATGTAACACTGCACCCATATGAAATGTTTAATTTTTATCATTTTTTTTAAAACAGATAGAGCTTTCTTTTGGTGGTATTTAATCACCTCTGGGTTTTTTATTTTTTGCCAAACAAAAAAAAAACAGAAAATTTTGAAAAAAAAGGTTTTTTTTTTTTAGTTTTTGTTATAAAATTTTGTAAATAAGTGATTTTTCTCCTTCACGTATGTGCGCTAATGAGTCTACAATGATGGGCACTGATAGGCTGCACTGATGGGCACTGATAGGTGGCACTGATGAGCACTGATGAGGAGGCACTGGTAGGTGGCACTGATGGGCATTTACAGGCATCACTGATGGACACTGAAAGACAGCACTCATATATGACACTGATAGGGTGGCACTGACTGGCACTGATAGGCGGCACTAATTGGCACTGTTAGGCAGCGCTGACTGGCACTGTTAGGCGGCACTGATAGACAGCACTGATGGGCACTGATAGGCGGCACTGACTGGCACTGATAGGTGGCACTGATTGGCAGAACTGATAGGGGGCACTGACTGGCATTGATAGGTGGCACTGACTGGCACTGATAGGTGATACTGAAAGGCAACTCAGATGGGCACTGATATGTTGCATTGATGTGCACTGGTAGGCACTGACATGTGGCATTGATGGGGCACTGATGGGCACTGGCAGGTGGCACTGATGATCACTGACAGGTAGCATTGATGGACACTGACAGGTGGCACTGCTGGGGCTACACTGATCATCAGGGCACACTGATCATCAGTGCCTTTATGATCAGTGTACATGTCCCCTCTGAGGAATGCCGATTACCAGCTCTCCTCTCCTCTCGAGCTGTCAGCGTGACAGCTCGTGAGGAGAGAAATGCTGATAACTGTCGACGTCTTCGGCTCTTTCTCTTGTCCGAGCGACACAGAGCACCACCGATCACCATGCTTCACGCCCCCTGAGCCGCACACACGCGGTTAGAGTGGGAGGACGTCATATGGCTTTCTCCCAGAACGAGACAATTGCCTTGCGCCCATCGTTTCCTTATATGGCGGGTGGGAGGAGGTTAAATATCATGCCTGGGGGGTCCCATTAAACTACCTGCAAAGTTGCACATCTGTACATGTATAGAACCTGCTGCAGCAGGACTGACATTTAAAAAAAAAAAAATATTTATAAAAGAAAAACAGCGTGGGGTGCCTCCCCCCCCCCCCAATTTAGGTCCTTTAGGTCTAATAGGAAGGTTAGTAGGGACCCCACAGTAAAAAAAAATTTAATTAAAAAGCGGGTGGGGTTCCCCCTCAAAGCCATAAAAGACCCTTTAGGCCTGGTAGCACTTTTAAGGGAAACCCCACCCCGCAAAAATGAGGGGAAAAAGTGTGGGGTCGACCCTAAATTCCTACCAGACCCTTGATCTGAGCACAGGCCTGGCAGGCCAGGAAAGGGGGGACGAATGAGCACCTCCCCTACCTAGGTCTTACCAGGCCACATGCCCTCGGCATTGAGACAATGAGGAAAAGGGCCTCTTCTGTCCCAGTGGTTGTGGGGGTCTGCGGACAGGGGGGATCATTAGCATCATGGTCACCCCCTCCCAACATACTGTATGTAAGTGTAAGAGTGTAGAAAATGGAAAAGTTGATTAAAACTGAAAATTTCCAAATTTAAGAGGCAGTGGTGAAGGGTCCCTTTTGAGTAAAATAATGGCCAATTCGATATAAACCTTTATTACACCACCCTTGAAATGCTTTTGCTGCCAGGGGGGAGGCTTGGGTTGTTCCAGCGAAGTACAATCCAAGATGAGGGAGATATGAGTCCACAATTTATCTCATAATGCCATAGAATGCAAAGATGTCAGCGCTAATATTGGGGGTCATTCACTAGGAGAGAGCCACAGATAGTCTGCTGTATAAGGGGGAATAGCTTTTCTCTTGGTGTATACCCAACTGGGTTTCTCCCTGGCAGAATAAACTATACAAAATTGTGCCAATTGAGTAGCATAGTAATAAGAACGTTGGGTACCCCCCAAACCTCAGTTCTGTTTCAGGGTAAAAAGGCCTTTGGTACCCCAAATAAAAAAAATTATTTTAGCTTGAAAATATGTAAATTGGTCTGTACAGTAGTGTAGTGGTACTGGCCAGGATCAGAAAATATAAAGTAAATTAAATAAAATCGTCCTCTTAATAGTGTGAATTCTACCGATCCAAGATAGGTCATACATATGCCAGGCAGACAGGAGTTCTTCTAATCGCCAAAAAAGAGGTGGGTAGTTAACGAAGTATAATTCTGAGTAGGAGTACAAGAGTCACACTCCTAAATGAATAAGAGCTCCCTTCTGCTAAATAAAGGAAAAGGCATCCTGCAGTGAATTCAAGTGTAGTACCATGATAGGTTGTCACCTTTGCAATAAGTCCATTCATGAAATTTCCTTGCTACTACATATTCCTTGGTCAACTGTTAGGGGTATTATAACAAAGTCGAAGCAACTGCGAACAACAGCAACTCAGCCACAAAGTGGTAGGCCATGACAGAGCGGGGTCAGTGCATGCTGAAGCGCACAATGTGCAGAAGTTTCCAACTATCTGCAGAGTCAATAGCTCCAAACTTTGTGTGGCCTTCAGATTAGCACAACAACAGTGTGTAGAGAGCTTTATGGAATGGGTCTCCATGGCAGAGCAGCTGCATTCAAACCTTACATCACCAAGTGCAATGCAAAGCGTCAGATACAGTGGTGTAAAGCACGCCACTACTGGACTCTAGAGCAGTGGAGATGTGTTCTCTGGAGTGATGAATCACGCTTCTCTGTCTGGCAATCCAATGGATGTCTGGGTTTGGTTGTTGCCAGGAGAACGGTACTTGCACGACTGCATTGTGCCAAGTGTAAAGTTTGGTGGAGAGGGAATTATGATGTGGGATTGTTTTTCAGGGGTTTGGCTTGGCCCCTTAGTTCCAGTGAAGGGAACTCTTAAGGCGTCAGCATACCAAGACATTTTGGACAATGTCATGCTCCCAGAACACCTTTGGGATAAATTACAGTTGAGACTGCGAGCCAGACCTTCTTGTCTGTCATCAGTGCCTGACCTCACAATGCGCTTCTGGAAGAATAGTCAAACATTCCCACAGACACACTCCTAAACCTTGTGGACAGCCTTCCCAGAACAGTTGAAGCTGTTATAGCTTTAAAGAGTGGGCCAATTCAATATTGAACTCTATGGACTAAGATTAGGATGCCATTAAAGTTCATGTGCGTGTAAAGGCAGGCATCCCGATACTTTTGGCAATGTAGTGTATATTGGAATCAATCAGGTACATGACAAACAACGGCAAGTCATCTACAAATAGGGCACCCCTATGTTCTTCGGGGGTCACAAATCACTCTTTTGAATTTCCGGATTATCCAGTATTGCAATAGCCAGGTTTCAATAACGATCACAAATAGAAGTGGAGACAAAGGAGAGGCATGGCTAGAACCTCTTTCAATCTCAATGGGATCTGACAGGTGACCCAACAACTTGACCTTGGCTTGGGGGACTTGAATATAATACTTTGAGAAGTTGTAAAAAATGAGAACCAAACCCCCACAATTCCAAAGTTTGGTCTAATTCCAAAGGTCCAAAGATAGGATCATGATACCGAATCAAGGGCCTTCTGTAAGTCAATGGATAGAAGGAGGCCCTGCTTGGGAGCAATGTCATCCCATCCAGACAGCAAAAGAAAAATCAGGTCGACTGCACATTGGATCTGATCCTTGCCCTCACCTGATCTTTATGTACATCCAATAAAGGTATATAACCTATTGGCCAGAAGCTCTGTAAAAAGCTTGAGATCGTTATTTATTAGTGAGATAGGTCGGTGATTCCCAACTTCCCCAGCATCTTTGTTTGGTTTGGGGACAACTGAAATACTGTATGTGCTAAATTTAGGGAGGAATCTGGCTGAATTCCCCAACAACCCACATTGAAAAAATTGTCCTGAATGAGGAACTAACACATCTTGAAGTTTGAGGTAGTAAAGGGCAGAAAACCCATCAGGACCCAGAGCAGAACCCACATAATTGTTTAATTGCCGCAATAATCTCCCAGTCAGTGATGGGGCCATCCAAAAAATCCCTGTAAGGGGTAGAAATGTGGGAAGGGGAAGGTCTTGTAGATAAACTGCAAACTGATATATAGCAGAGGCTTCCAATTTAGGCAGGCTATGTGGAGCCATATAAAAACAATGAAATGTCTCTAGGACTTTTTGTGGGTTTTGTGAGTATATACCATTTAAGCAGCACAGTTTTGGAATGGCAAAACTATGAGTTTCAGGATTAAACTTGTGAGCCAACATAGAGCCTATTCTGTCCTTATCTATACTTTAGAATTTAGTAAAGGCCCACCTCACACTCTTTTCCGCTCACATAGTCAGAACTAAATTAAGTTTAATACTCACTTTCTTTATCTGTCGTAGAACTGAGGGATCAGGATGTTTTTTTTGTGTGCTTGAAGGAAAAATTGTAGGTCACAGCCAAGTTTGTTGATCATAGATTGTCACTCCCTTTTTTTTTAATACATTCTTTATTTAAAGTTTTCACAGTGACAATTAAAAAAAAACAAAGAAATGCACAAGAAGAGCAAGAAACAGAAAGTAGCAAGACTATAAAATTGTCATTTTACTGATCATCTAATAAAAAGTGGACTGTCTATTACAATTCACTACAATGCAGAGACCTAATAATCCATGTACAAATTCAGAAAGGGTACCAGAAGTCTAGATGTAAAATATTTAACATGTACAACATAAACCCGTTTTGGGCCTTTTGTATACTCCAACAGACTTCAATAGACTAGAAAATGTATTAATCAATAGCCCACCATGAAACCCAGTTTCTCCCTTTTGAGTTGTGGGGCTACCTGAATAAGTTTGCCTCTCACTGTGGCCTTTTGAGCTGCTCATACTGTTACTAGGGACACATCATCCATCACATTTTCTTGTCATCATCCATATTGGGTGAGGCTAATTCTGATATCCTTACAGCATCAGGGATCAGATAATGGCCTTGTGTATAGGGGGCACTAAAGTGCATAAGACAAATACATGGTCAATACGGGAGTATGTAGAATGAGGGGCAGAAAAATGAGTGTAATCTTAGGCAGATGAGTGTAAGTCATGTCACGTATTGACTAAATTATAAGAATGGAGACGTTTAGCAACCCAAGTACTTGCCTGGGATGGATATTTAAAGTGAGCTTTTACCAGATTTGAATCCAATGTGTGGTCTAAAGCTACATTAGACTCTCCGACGTACATCCTCTAAGTGTGGAGGCAGGACCTAGAGCATAGCAGAAACGAAGGAGGCCTGACCTGAATTGGGTGCATAGTATGATAAAAAAGAGCACAATAGTTCACCCACATGACCCTTCACCATAATATATCTGTTGCAGAGATCACAGATTACTTGAAGATGGGTAAAAGAGATGTGTCTAGAGGGGGGGCATTGGCTAAATAAAACACCCGGTAATGTTTATGTAAAAAAGAAGGATTATAGGACTGTTGGAAGTGTGTCTCCTGTAAGAGGAGAATATCCATCTGCAGAGTATGGTAATAATGGAACGCCTTGCATCTTTTGACAGGGGGGATTTGAACATTATGGGGATTGAGAGACAGATGGTGTATTCATTAGAAAAGAAGGAGTATATTTTTAAATATAACATCACTCACCACTAAGAGAGCAGTGCTTGACTACC